GCTGAACATCCGTGATGGTCTTGGCCCACCATCATTCCTGACTGGTTTTATATGCTCTTAGTAAACAAGCATTCTCTTATTCTTGTTCAAACATAAACACTAAATTTGAGTCTCCTACGAGAAGCATCAGAGGGAAATATGTGTTTCTCTGTGCAAAGAGATTTATTAAATAGGCTTACAGGATCCCAGGCAGGAGAGTCCACAGTGGCTGTCTGTGAGCAGCACACCCAAAAGATCAAATAGCTGCTCAATCCAACAAGATGCAAGCCACAGAGTAAGAAGGACTAGGAATAAAGCACCAGCCCAGAGTTGAAGCCCTGGAAGCCTGAGGGAGAGTCCCTGGTGTGAGTCTGCATTAGAAGGCTGAAGAAATCAGGGGCTCATACTCAAAGGTGACAGCAGCAAAGGAATCACTTGGAGAGAGGCATGCTCATCTCTTTTCCTTTTATGTTCCCTGCACACTACTAGTCAATTGTTCTCCAGGAATGGTTCTTCCCCACCTGCATGTGCCATCCTTCATGTCAGTCATTCACAGACACACCCAGAGCTTTGCTTTGTTAATCTGCTAGGCATTTCTTACTCGAGTCTAGCTGACCTATCGCAATTAATGGTCACAGAGTAAAACCACAGGTTACTGACACAGTGAAAAATTATGTTGAGAGTACAGCAAGCAGCAGAGGGACACCACCAGAATCCATGAGTCAGCTGTGAAACACAACAGCACGACCTTCAATCTCACCCGGGCATGCTGTGTATTGACTGAAAGGTTATCATATCTATATTTTACCTACTTGGGTCAGAATAAATATCAGAAGCAACTCAAAAGCAATGGAAGAATCAAAATATGTATCCTCTACTGGCAAGGATGCATTCATTCCACTGAATGATTTCTTGAGATGTTTCTTAGAGTTATCACCATCAGTGTTCTTTGTCTTAGAAGTTGCTCTTTGATTTTATAAATAACAGGATTTCTTGCTCTGTTGTGACATAATGCTCTTGTCCTCCAATAAGTCCACCGTGCAAATTGACCGTATTATGCACTGTTACCTTTTAGTCAGTGTTAACACAATCATCTTCAGTGTCACCATTATTACATTCACCTTTGCTTCAGAGCAGGTAGAGCTCTCTCATCATCAATGAATGAATAACTAGAGTTTCATCATTAATGTATGTTGCTTCAGTACCTACTTTTTCCGTCGTAGTAAGGGATTCCAAAGGTACATTTGTTTATATCTGTAGGTAGGCCAGATATCTTTCTGTGTTCTCATGGACAGAAGGAACCCTTCAAAGTGGCCTCCTTATTCATCAACAGAGTGGAATACGGGCAGAGGCCACAAGTTATACCAAGAAACTGTTTTGGGTCATTGTGTCCCTAGCTTTGACAACAGCTTGTGTGGAATTCCTCATGCTGATTTTTAAAATCTTTCACACCCACACCTCTTTCGTTGCTGCTTTCATGCAGCACAAGAAAGTGTTTTTATAATAAATTTAAGAATAACTTATCACATAGTTGAAGTAGTGAAGTCACATTTAGGGGAAGCATGTGGCACAAATATTATCTTTGATTATAATTTCAACTGGGTGATGAAAACAATTGCAAGGATTAATAAAATCTTGCTATTGGCTTGCAGCCTACCTTCCCTGCAATGTACATGGAATTACTAATAAAAAAATATTTATGAAATCATCTGGGAAAGCTGTCTCTGCCAATTTGTGACTTTTTTCCATAATAGTGAATTGGTGAAAAAATCACTCCTTTTAACTGTGTAGAAACAAGATTTTGCCTGTCAAAGCAAGTTTACATTTATATGTGCTTACTTCATCAGCAATCCCAAAACAGTTATTCTGTCTTGGCATTCTTACTTCTTGTAGGAGCTATCTCATCAACTGTAACTGGTGTCTTTATGGAGCAATAGTGCCAAACAAGTGATGCATCTTCCACATTGGAGACTTGTTCTGGCATCATGTATTCAACATGGACCTTAGCAAACTCGGTTAATTTCACACTGCCATATGATCAGCAGATGCTTTGTCATCACAAACCCAAAACTTTATGCTGTGTCTTCCCTTAAATTTCTGCATTCATCATGCTGAGTACTCACAGTTCTCAATTTCAGTTCATTGTGATCTTTCTGTCATAATCATTGTACTGTTAACTGATATGTGTTCACTCAAATGCTGAACAACCCACTCAACACATGACTGAGACCTAATAACAAATGCAGCTTTGTTATTTTTCGTTAACTTCTTTTCATCTCTCTCAGCATAGAACTTCAGTAGTTTATCCCTCAGTGCTTTTGGTCTTCTATGTGGTCATTTCAATGCCATACACTTCTGTAAGGTGTTTCACACTTACAAGACCAATTTTTAAAAGTTTAACTTCCTGCACTGTAGATAAACACAAATGCTTCCTTTTTTTCTTATCATTAGCCACACTATTTCATGCTGTCTTACACCACAGAACAAAGAATAAATGAACAAACAAACAAAAAATCCACACCGACTGATGCACACAGGATTGACCGGACATGATGCTAGCGGAGGAAACTACAACATGGAATCATGCGGGGGAATCCCACAAGTCTGCAGCTTGCACACGTGTCATTTTATTGCCTTTTGTGGGAATGCTTGCATGGAGTCTTCTGGCTTCCCACCCAAAAGATATGTTAGAGCTGGAAGAGACTTTGCAAGCTTTTCTCCCTTTAAAGATGCTAAATACACTTTGCACTGTGCACCTGAGTTTTGATTGAACTCATTACATATGATCAGGTGTGGAATTTTCCATTATGGCATCATGTCAATACCCAGAAAATTTATGATTTTCTACCATTCCGGCTTTTGGATTTTAGGATTAGGGAGATCAACTCTGTATAAATTTTGATTTGTACTGGAAATCTTTGAATTTTTACTCATGCATTTTCTCTATCATGTTTCATAGAACTACTCGCACCTCCATATTTCTTGATGGTATCATGTTCTTTCTACCTGAAGAAGTAACGTTGGTATTTCTTTTGGGTGCTGACCTGTAGGCAATGATTTTTCTGTCAATGGAAATTTTTCTTTGTATTATTCTTGAAGATTATAAAATTTTACTAAGATTGTTTTGTTAATCATCATTTTTCCATTCTCTAGATCATCTCTCAGATCCTGTACCTGTAGACTTATCATATTTGTTAGATTTTCTTCCCTCTATTTATTATTAGCCATATTTGTTTTTCTTATTATATGTGGAAATTTTTAATAAAATGTTAGAAGCTATATACAATAAAGTATCTGAGTGGTATTCCTTACTAATTGAAAAGTCTTCATCTTCTATTTGGAAGATAGACCAAGAAACTAATAGCTTCAGTACAACTGGGATGGATTTAGGTAAGAAAATAGTTTTAGCAATATATATTTTATGGAATTTCATTTGAGATTTTCAGTGTCTCTATACTTTAAATTGTAAAAGGCATTAGGTGAGTTCTAATGCTCATAGCTTCAAATATCAATTCAATAACCTGTGCACCAAGCTCTTTCAAAACGAGGCAAATATTTTAAAGGTGAGACAGAACAAAAGCTTGAGACAAGGCTTCTTTGAAGAGGCCCTAGTTTCCTACATACAAGAGAATTATACATGATTCTGTCTTTGGAACCTTTACCTTACCTCGCCAGATTCTCACAGAGGATTTAAGTTAGTGATATGACATAAAGAACACTCATTTTTTTTTTAATTTGATGCTTCTAAATTTCTAATTTATTAATCTTGTCTTGTTAGGCACTGTGAGATTTCCATGTCTCCTCATTAGAGGCTCTCAAAGTTGACTTTATATACAAAACCATTAAGCTCTCCAGGAAGAAGACACTGTCATTACTCAGAGTGGTTCTTCCTTTTCCTTTATGATGTTTTCCAAATAAATTTTTTTCATATCCCTCTGATGCACACCCAGAGACTATAATGTTGATTGAAATAACTGAGACACACAAGTTTAAATATCTTATGGTTTCTCTTATATGAGACAATCAAAATATAAATTTAAACAACAGGAGAAAGGTAATTTTTTTTTCCCAAACAGGAAAGTGACCAAAGTAGAGGGAGAAGGGAGGGAGAGTATGGGCAGCAGAAAAAAAAAAAAAAAGGAAAGAAATAAGCTATACTATGTACATATATTCCTCTCCAAGAATGTAATATGTATAGCAAACATGAACTAATAAAAAAATAGATATATTTCTTGTGATGTTTTCTCATTCATTTCTCCATTATGCCAAGGTTGGTTCTGTAGCAGTCAGGGTCCAGTCAGAAAAACAGAAACCACAACTATAATCTTGAAAAGAGTTACATATAAGAAAATGGGCAAGCAGCTGTTGAAGAACAGCACAAATTAAGGGAGATGCTGTGTATTTTTTATTAAGGATGAGATATAATGGCAAGAAGGTGCATTCATGGATTTGAGGAGTAAATGAAGAATTTGGGAATGTTTGAATCTTGAAGAGGAGTCCTGGCACTTTGGATCTGAGACTCAGAACTCTTAATGGTGTTGCTAAATTGGTGCTCGGAATTTGGGATACTGATAAAGAACTCAAAGAGCTGGGATTCAGAACTCTGAGAGTGTCACATCAGACAGCTATGGTGGTATTTCTGAGGCTGACAATAAGGTTAGTCTGAAGTGAATTAAAAAAGAAAACCTGATGAACGATAGATTAAAAACTAAGTATCACTGTGAACACAAAAGCTGCTGCTTAGGAAATACTGACATAACACCAAGAAAATAGATCTCACAGGCTTGTAGGTTTCTGCTCATTCTCATTTTGCAGAACCTTATATCCTATAGAGAAAGCTGGTACAGCAGACATGTTTTTGTGATAAAGTCATACAAGAAAGAAAGGAGAATTAGAGCTGAAAGCAATAATGTAAAACAGGTACACCACCCATGTGCCATGTGTTTCCCAAGAAATATAATGAAGCAAATTTCAGGAAAAATTTTCAAATTATGCGAAATAGTGAAGAACAAATAAAATCATACTAGGAATTAATTTTTTAATGAAGGTTTTTTGGGAGGCTGTGGAGTTTTTGAAATTGGGGTTGATAGCCTTTGTCCTCCAGGTTGGCTCTGGGAACGCAAAGAGCCAGGTTGACTCTGGGAACGCAAGGAGCCAGGTTGACTCTGTGGTTGACTCTGTAGGGACTTTGTCTCTACTTTTGCAGGTGGAGTTTGAGGTTTTTGCTGTTCTATCTCAGGTTTACTTTTGGAAAGCAATGAGCTAGGTTGGCTCTCCTTTTTCTTTTCTTTTCCAGATTGAGTCAGAGATTTTTTCTCTTTCTTAGGCTTCTTCTTCTTAAGGCAACAAAAACAACATAATAAAACAAGCAAAATAAGGAGGAGTAATAAACACAGGTAACAAAACTTTGCTTCCTTCTTTCTCTTAGGAGGTGGGCCACTGTCAACGCTGCCTCCATACCCCTCTATCACGCAGTTTGGAGGGTCCCACAGAAAGTTGCAGTGACAGTGGTGTTTATTATTGCAGATACCCCTCATATTACAGAATGCAGGTGAACAACTACTATCCAGTCGAGATATATGGACACAATGCCTATTGATACAGAGATGTTCTTCACCACATTTTGTGCCATCTTTTACATCACCGATATCAGGAATTCTCATCCCATGGTGATAATCAGTACCCCAGCAGGTTGTATCACCGAAGCGAGTCCAGTGTACTGTGGTGTGGTCATCCAAAAGGGGAAGTTCTGCCACATTGTCACACTGAAGTCTCCCACACAAGATGTCCGACATGTTACATTTTACATAACTAGCACCACCGAGACCACAGTGGCCAAAACGGGTACCTTGAGTATTCAGTTTTTTGTAGCAAATCTCATTTGCGCTCCTTGCTGAGTGGCCAAAAACCTGCCTGCAACTTTCATTGAGATTATGACATTCCCTTCCATAACAGTAGGAAGAATCATTACAGGGAATTCCATCTTCCACGTAGACATCATCTGGGCACATGTGGGAAGTCCCATTGCACCACTCTGGAAGATCACATATATTGGCCTCTTTTCTACACAGTTCCCCCTCTGGTGCAAATCTGCAGTCTTTACAACAAAGCCCAAAGGCGCAAGTAGCCCCATAACTCAGAGTGCAGTTTGGCAAACAACATGGGTCTTCTGCACAATACTTTATGGCTCCACAGTCGCATTCCTCGTCTTTTTCAACAATGCCATTCCCACAGCGTGTCCTATCAAAGATGTCCTTTGAGTATATATTTTCTAGCAAACATGGTGCCTGGGTTGTAGTCTGAGCCCACAAATAACCATAACTACAGTTGCTAAAAAAAACTACAGGTGGGTTATCCACATGCATTATACATATATATGCTGCACATTTACATGATCTTTCATCGTGGGACATGCCCAAACTATGACCTAAATGATGAGACACAGCAATTGCAAAAAGGGCCAAACTTCTGTTCACCAAAGTAACAATTGAACAACTACGTCGTAGTTTACATATTCCTCTAGTATGTGTTATGCCACTTAATCCTCTTAATTCCCTATACAGGAAAAGTTGTATGCCATCATGTTTTACCCGCGGACTAAAGTGGTCAGCTTTCCATCTGCAAAATTCATAGATAGATTTTCTTACATCATCTACTACAACAGGATTTGAATTATTCCAGATCTCCAAGGCACACAGTAATACCCTAATGCCCAGATAAATATGAATGGAACTCACCAAATTCATTATTTGAAATAAATCCACCAGTATCTTTGTTTCATTTCTTCCATAATGAACATACATGTAATTGTCAACCACCACTGCAAGTTCAACAGTCTTATAATGGAGCCACCAGCCCACAGCAGAACTTTGCTTGAGAGTGGGATTACTAATATCTTCAAATTCCATTTGTTGCCCTATTTCATCTTGAAAAATGTCAGATATTCTGGTAGAGGATTGTGTGTCCTCACTATCCAGCCTATATACCAAATGTTCAAATTTAGTAGAAAACATGGAGGGCATGATTTCATAAGCAATGTCATCTATCTGCAACAGTCCTTGAAGGCCACCAAAACAAGTACTGAGAGCCACCAAAGATTCTGAGACCCCTTCCACATAACCATGATAGTAGCAGTCATCCTGGACAAAAGGATGGTCTTCAAGCAGAGTTTCCTGGTCTGAGTAAGTGTACACTGGGAGGTGTTTGTATAGCAAATGTTTCTTGGCCTTAATGTGGATAATGTGTGTCTGGCCCCCAAAGTGTAAGCTATAGGAAAGCCATCCTGGAAATTTAATTCCTCTGACCGTGCCAGGTACTTTTAAGGGAATCACCACCTCTGGGGGGCTATGATACTGGTACTGTTTAGTTTGGATGAATCCAGGAAAAGACAGAAATACCCCGAACCATTGCAGCAGGAATAAAATCCTTATGAATAACAGAACTTCAGTCATAGACATTATGAAGCCACATCTATAAAACCATTGCTTCAGAGAAGTCGGTTCTGAGAGTCATAGTGTGGCTGCTTCTTCTAAGCTGGTGTATATGCAGCGCTAATCATTAAGGTTCTGTCTTTGGGCAAAGTTGAATCATCTGAGTTGTATTCCTGTAAGTAAAATAAAAAAGACAACATAGGAATGGGAGTCATGAACAGACACAATGGAGAGAAAGAAAAAGGTTCAGGTTGAAAATGGTCTGTGCTTTGATGAAGGAATAAAGAAATTTCCTGTAATTTGCTCTTAATTGCTGATAAGGGAAAGGGGGCAAGAGGCCACACAAAATGAATAAATGCATAGTTACTGAATGTACATGGTAGGCAGGATAGATGAATTGCACTACTCATTAAAGGTATAAATATTTGCAAACATTTCCATATAATAAATAATTATATTAAAGCGACCAAGAGGGCAAGTTAACAATATATCTTGGATTGCTGAAATAGTTCCAGTTTATTCACATTAAAGTGGCATAAGTATTAATAACTTTATGTTTCAACTGTAGATAACAAATTATTGATGATATTAACTATGATTTGTTCTAAAAATATTTTTACACTGTTTCCAATTTTCTTTTACGTTGGTTAACATAAACCGCCCTGTAGAGCAATGTGTTGTGCCAGTTGAAATTGTGCTGAAATCCTTTCAAAGCTAAAAAAAAATCAAAGAACACTAGAATGATATTGAACAAGCTTTCAAAATTAAACTTCCATTGAAGCAGCCTACAGTACTTAAATGTACAAAAGGCAACTATCTCCCAAAACAGAAGTTTTAAGTAGAATAAAGTGTCACTTACACAGTGACATCAGAAAGATGGATGGATGGAAGTCTTACAAAATCCTGCTGCAGTAGTTCATGCCTGTAAACTCAGCACTTAGTAGGCTGAGCCAGGAGGATCATTGTGAGTTTGAGACCAGAGTAGGCTACTAAGTGAGCTCAAAGCCAGCCTGAACTGCACAGTGAGACCCTGTCTCAAAAAGACAAAAAAAAAAAAAAAATCTTGCCCTAATAAACACACTAATTCAACAATGCTCAGTGGGAAAATTCTTCTTTTCATAAGAAATGCTGAAGCTCACTGAAAGGTTCCTAATGAAAAATGCAAATTTAGAATCACCAAAAGTTGTTGGGGAATTCAGGACACCATCTGAATAGAGTCCCTGTCCCTGGGGTACGATTATATAATCAGGAAGTGAACCTGTAGCTCTTCGCTTTACCCAGAGACTGGAAAGAGTTTGTTGTGTGCCCAGTAATTTAACTTTTCTGAAGCAACCTTGCAAGAGAATTGGCTTCTGTTTTACTGATCTTGAAGCTCTGACTAGGCCGCCACAGTCTAACCTTCCAGAAGAAATGGAAATGATGGTTCACACTGTTATATGCAATCTCTCCCTTCTCAACAGACAGCAAGCACGGCTTTCTGCTTTCTGCTGAGGAGAAAAGGAATTGATCTGTGTGTAGACCAAGTAAACTTCTCTAAAGTTATTCAAAGAACTAGCATCTCTCTACCTAGTTTTAGAGCTCTGACGGGTTCAGTCCAACCTAGATATTTGTGCAATATTAGAACTGGGGCTTAACTAGACTAGTAGACAATATAGATCCTCCCTACTCAGCATAGAGAAAACAGATTTTAAAATTCCAGCTCAGTTTTTCCTTGGGAAGAAAAAGTTGAAAAGTATATCCAATGCCCAAAATTCTCCAGGGCTTTGAAAAGAAATGGTCTCTGACTAGCCAAAACTGGAGCTCCTATTGGTCCAGCATAGTCTTGCCTTCTACAGAAAGAATGGAGACTTGAGCTCATAAAAAAAATATATGTTCTTCCTCTTTCTAAACTCAGAAGAATCAGACAATACATACCAACTTTCAGCTTTCTCCTGGAGAGGTAAAGGAGTGAATCCATGTTCCCAGCCCCCAAACTTGTTAAAGGTTACACCAAGACCTGATACTGATTTTCCATTCTTGAGTCTCTGATGTGTCATTGCAATGTAGCCATCTAGGAGAGAAGCACTAGCAGATAGGGCTAGTTTACTAAAAGCCACCCATCCTTGATCAACACACAACATGTAAACAGAAATAACAGCTGTCTTTTTCTCCCTGGAGGGAGAATTAATAGAACACTTGAAATCTCTGAACTGAGTAATTTTAGGGAGCATTTTCCTGCTCAAGGCCAGTGCATGAAGTCAGAGAGAGGACTTGCTTTGTTTAATATCAAACATCCACACAGAGAAGGAAAATGATGACACAAAGATATTCCAAACAAAAATAATAATTCTGTAGAAACTGACACTAATGAAACAGAGATATATGATTTACCTAATACAGAATGCAAAAAAGAATAAGGTCAAGAAAGAGAATAGCAAATGAAAAAGGTAAGAATTTCAAGAAATAATATTTAATAAAGAAGAAGGAATTATAAAGCTGTGGAACAAAATAACAGAATTTTAAAATTCTTTGGAAATCTTCACCAGCATACTAGATCAAGCAACTACTGTGTGATCTTGAGGACATGGCACTATAAATAATCAGAATAATAAAAAGGAAAAAGAATTTTAAAAATGGAGAAATCTTAAGGAACACATTCAAAGAGATCAATAAATACAATATAACAGTGTTGGAGGACAGCAGGGAGAGAGAAGACCAGAAAACCTATTCAGGGAAGAATTTTTCACCAACACATCCCAAATAAAAGAAATAAATATACAGATCCAGAACATTTAAACCTTTCTTTATAAGATAAAAAGCAAAGAAAGACACAGAGATATATCATAATGTAAAGACATAAAGGAAAAGACTCTGACACTATTACAGCTGTTGACTTCGATATATCACACTCACCAGTAGATCCTCTAGACAAAATAAGAATCATGAAAGAAATATTAGAGTTTCTATGGAGCAAATAGGTTTGACATCCATCTATACAGTTTTCTGTTCAATACATTCTTTCCAACAGATCACGGAACTTTCCTCAAAGATCATATTTTAGGACATAAAGAAAATCTTACTATAAAACATTAAAATAATTTCATTCATTGGATCAGATCCAAATGAAATAAAATTAGAAAAAACTGCAAAAGGAGCAATAGAAACTATACAATTGCATGGAGATCAAATAGTACATCTTTGAACAATCAGAAAGTCATTAAAACATGAAGGGGAAAAAATATTCTAGAGTCAAATGATAATGAAAAGACAGTGTATCAGAATCTGGAACACAATGATACAGTTCTTAGGGGGAAATGTATGCATATGAGTTCCTGTTTAGAACAACAACAATCTCAAATAAATCATCTATCTCAGGGTCCTAGAATAACAAGAACAAACCTACGTGCAAACCAGTGGAAGGAAAGATATTATGAAGATCAAAGCAGAAATTAATGAATTTAACACTAAACAGTTCAAAGGATTAAGAAATTTAAAACTTGGTTCTTTGGAAAGATAAACAAAATAAATAAACTCCTAGCCAAACTTAACCACAAAGGAGAGAAAAGGCTCCAAATTAACAAAGTTAGAAGTGAAAAACACAAAATTGCAACAGACACCACTTACTTCCAGAGGGTTATTAGAAAATATTTTGAAGAGTTACACTTCAAAAAATTGTTGAATCTTATAGAAGTATATGAGCTTATCTACATGTATAACCTGCAAAACTCAAACCAAGCAGATACAAGAAAACTAAGTAGTTCAATAGGAAGCACTGAGATTGATGCAATAATAAAAATTCAACCAACTAACAAAAGGCCAGGAGCCTGAGGAACTTACCATTGAATTTAAGCAGTCTTTTAGAAAAAACACCAAAGCCAGGGAAACTTTTCTATTTTGTAGAAAGTGAAGGAATACTCCCAAATTCCTTCTTGAAGCCAACATTACTATGGTAACAAAACCAGAAACACACTTAATAGAGAAAAAAAACCCTACAAATCATTAACCCTGGGGAACCTAGATGCAAAATCCCTTGTAAGGTTCTTGCAAATGGAACCCAACAATACATTGAAAAGGTCAAACACCATGATCAATTGGTTTCATTCCAAGGATGTATAAATTATTTAACATTATTTACTACAGAAATGGAACCAGGAATAAAAATCACATGATCCTTTCAATAGAAGCAGAAAAAGACTTTGACAAATTTCAACACATTTTCATGGAAAAAGCCAATAAATATCTTTTTTTAAAATAATACAAAGAGATATAAGACAGACACACAGAAATCATCATAATGATTGTTGGGAAATAAGCATTTTCTCTAAAAATATGAAAGAAACAAAAGTATCCTTCCCCACCTGTTGTGTTCTATATAATACTCAAAGTTTCTGCCGCAGTAATGAGTCAAAAGAAAAAAGAAAGGAATATAAACAGGAAAGAAAGAAGTCTAACTCTGTCTTTCTAGATGAGATCATCATTTACCTAAAAACCCTAAAAACCTCATCACAGAAAGTTTTATAGTTCACTTGAATTTTTTTTTTATTTCGGAAATAAAACAATGACAACATATTAACAAGCACACATACATTTACAAAACAACACAAAAACAATACAAGCAGTACAGGCTTTCAGACAAGGTGATAGGAAATTAACAATAGCTGTTATACTACATTTTTTTTCTTTTGGTACCAGGAATCAAACTTATAACTTCACGCTTGCCAGGCAGGCGCTATGCCACTGAGCTAAATCCCCAGACTGTATTACCTATCGATATCTTCAGATTGGTTACTTAGCTAAGATAGTTGTATTACTGATTTCTATTGCTTGATTGAAAGGAACAGTTAATGTTTAACTGCTTGATCAATGATCAACTGTAAATTTAACAAAGTGCCAGTATACAAAGCAACACAGAAAAATCTGCACAGCTGACATATACCAAAAATGAACCCACAGAGGAAGTAGGGAAAACTCAAATTCACAGTATCTTTAAAATACCTTAGTAGCAAGACTAACCATGTAGCTGAAAGACTTTGCCAATGAAAATTATAGAAAACTAAAGAGAGAAATCAAAGGCATTAGAAAATTGAAAAACCTTTCTTATTCATTGCTCAGAATTAATATTGTTAAGATAGTCAAAAGAAATCTACAATTTCAATGCTATTCCCATCAAATACCTAACACTGACAACTTTCAT